CTGACATTTTGGGGTCAGAATTTCCTCGTTTCTTGCCTCCTGCTATTAGCCCTGAATCAGTGTGACCCTTAATGAATGGCTACTGTTGACTCTGGAGTTGCATGCTACTCTCTCCTGGGCATATATCTGGTGGGTTTTATATCCATATAATGGAATACTGTTCTGCTGTGAAAAGGAGCAAAATATCAATCTACGCTACACCATGGATGAAACTTGTAACATTATTTTTGTTGAGGCATTTATGTAGTTTTCACTATTAGAAGAGTTCCCTTCACATGTAAAAAGTATTTAATCACAGTTTCTCAGTTTTGCTGGACACCCCACCACCAATTTTTCTAACTAAGATACTTGTTAGTATTTAGATTATGGTATGGAGATGCTGAGTATTTGTGCAAGAGGAAGTTAAAGAGATATGTGACCACACCCTTAACGTTACTTTTTCCTATCTCTGGAGAAGTGCTCTTGTGGAATTTAGTGTGTGGAAGTGATGAGTTACCATATCACATACTCTCTTTTGTATTAATATTCACCGGTAGAAGGTAGAAAGGCTGTATTTATTTGTGGGTGAGTATGAGTTAACTATGCAGAGAATCTGATTCTTAAACAGGCTAATATGACAAGCCATGTGGGCATATTAAAAAGCAGGATGTGGGAATGTAAAGTGGTGTAGCCATTTGGAAAACAGTTTGGCAATTTCCTAAAAAGTTAAACGTATGACCCAGCTATTCCACTCCTACATATCTACTTAATAGAAATGAAAATATGTAGTCACACAAAGACTTGTATGTGAATGTTTGTAGTGACATTAGTCATAATAGACAAAAACTGGAAACAACCCAAATGTCCATTAACTGGTGAATGGATAAACCAAATGTAGTACGTATATATGTACAATAGGATACTATTCAGCAATAAAAAGGAATAAAATGCATGCTACAACATGGATGAACCTCAAAAACATTATGTTAAGTGATAAAAGCCACTTCAAAATACCACATGTTGTATGATTCATTTATATGAAATGTTCACAAAAGGCAAATCTCTGTAGAGACAAAACAGATGAGTGGTTGCCTGGGGTTGGTGGTGGGAGCAATGATTGAATGCAGATGGGCTCACGAGTATTTGGGGGGTTTTGAAGATATTCTAAAACCAGATTGTGGTGATGGTTGCACAACTCTATACATTTACCAAAATAATTGAATTATATACTTAGAGTGGATGAATTTTATGGTAACCTCAATAAAGGGAATGAAGATGAATTTTGTCCACTGAAGTATTAAGAGAAACATTGTTTGACCAATATAGTCATTTGACAAATGGTGAAAAGAGATTGTTTTAGAGATGTACTCCAGGTAAAAGGAAAAGGATGTTTGACTTGAATTTATAAAAGAGCAAATGAAACCCTTCACTTTGCCTTGAAATCATAGTAAATGTTTAAGGTAGCATCAGATATCTTTACTTAAATTTTTGCATTTCTCCATGCTTTTGTGTACTGTGGCTAGTAGAGAAAATTGGTGGTATAAAGTAACCTTTCTGGAGGGTTTTGTCAAGGACCTTAACGTTTATATCCTTCGGCCTATAGAATTCCATAAAAATATATTCTAAGGAAATAATTAGATATGCAAATAAGGACTGGTATTTGGAAATGTTCACTATAGTGTTATATAGGGTAATAAAACAATAATAACCTACCTGTTAGGGGGGAATGGTTGTAATTGTTTAAGGTATGTCTCTTGGATGCAAGGAGTAGAATCCCTTTCTAACTAGCTTAAGTAAAAATGGGTTTTGTTGAAAGGTTGCAAGGCACTCTAAAAACTCCACAAACAGCAAGTTCAGAGAGGCGTTCTGGCAATGAGGAACCAGAGCTGCTTTCTCCATTCCTCAGTCTCACGGGTCGGGCTCGTCACTTCTGTTTTCTATGCAGACCTGCGGCATCCTCAGGCTCATCTTCAGCCAGTCTTTCTTATGAATGGCCCAGTGCTGTTTGCCAGCTCTGAGTCAGGCTTTATTCCCATTCCAACATTTCCAGAGCAGGAATCTGTACTAGTTCATCTTTTTGAGCCTTATGTGGGTCAGTGAACAACGGGTCTACATTCAGGTTTAATTACTTTGTGAAAATGAAATGGCATTGGGTAATGACTTTGATGTAACACATCACATGGGCTTATATGAGATTACAAATATTAGCTATTAATTTAAAAATATTTCTTAGGCCTTCTGTGATATGATCTCTACTCTTCACTCAAACTCTCAAAAGAATAGTGTGCATTTGTGGTAAATTCATTCTTTTTTATTTTTTTATATCATTTATTACTGAAACCTCTATGGTCTGGTTTCCACCCCTCGTTTCTTATTAAAACCACTTTTACTAAGTCTGGCAATTGAAAACCCATTGAACATTGTGGACCAACCACGACTTCCGGAAATTCTCTGGACTTGGCCTCAGGGTCATTACTCTCCCCTGACCTTCCTTCAGCCCACCAAGTCAGCCTCAGTGGATCTTTTTCTGCTCATCCCTTTAGTATTGCTGTTGCTCTGTCCCACACCCTGCACTTCTTTTACTTCAGAGCCATCCTGCACAATTTCTTTTACCTTTGTGGCTTCAGATATTTCTTATATCCTCAAATCTCTATCTCTGTACCAGACCCCTGCTGCTGAGATTCTGACTGATAACCACCGGCTCACAGCCTCATCAGCTCTCCTCTTTTGAACCCTCATAGCTCTTTGTACTTCTGTTTATTCTCTGCCATAATTATGTACATTATTTAATTTTGTTTGTTTGTTTTTTAGCTGAGCCATCCTGCCACCTGTTGGCAGCTTAGTGGCAGCTCAGCTCGGGCCGGGACTCGAACTGCTGTTGCTCAGAGCTCAAACTCTTGAGTGAGCTCTTAACCAACTGAGCCACTCGGCCGGCCCTTGTACATTATTTAATTTTGTATTCCTGGTAGCACCTAGCAGAATTCCTTGCACAATGGACTCACTCAATATTTTCTCACTTGAATATCTCTATTTTAAAAACTAGACTAATTATACTTGTATGTGATTTTATTTTGTTTCCCTCCTATCCTAAAAAATACCCACAAACATTTTTTCTAAATCTAAGAATAATTTCTAACACAGTTTTTGTGGTCAAAGGAAAAAAATCAACTTAATGTTAATGAATATTCCAGTTAAAAACATTTCTCAATATATTTGGGCCTATTAAGTATGAAGTTTTTCCTGAGAATGAGGACATAAAACCTACCGAGTTTTAGATACTAATCATATGTGGATTTAACTTCTGTACTAGATATCTTTTCTTACTCCAAAATAAATAAATGCCCTTTGAAAAGCTAAAGCAATTCGGAAATATGCAATGTAGACACTGAAAATTTCCAATATTATGTGTAGACTTCTTACAAGTAAAATGAATTATAGACGTGGTGGCTCTTTGTAATGCAAAATAAATTTGCCCTTTGGGTTAGCGTATAGTTATTGGTTGAAGGCTAAGCGTTTAGTGACTGTATCAGCAGGCAACAACTAACCCTTCTGCTCTGAATATTCACCTCCAAAGTGTGTGCTGAGTACAAAAGGTGTGACTGTACTATTTGTATTAAAGGCTTGGGTATTTCACCTCATTATTCTGAATTCAGACAATTTGGTGGATCAGAGGCGAGTCTGAATTCAAATACGAGAGGTGGTATAAGGGTCAGTTAGCAAAGTCAGTTCTATTAAAATTTTTTTTTTTAATGAAGCATTTACTAGAAGTATGGCTTTGGAAACCTTGTGAGCATCTCATAGACTTCTAATGAATTTAACACTGTTGGCAAATTGGCTCACACAAAGAAATAAACTTTGGTTTGTGTATTCAGGGTCTCTGTGAAAACCAGGAAGAAAAATGAAGGAACTAGGAATGTGCTTCTGCTTTTCATTTGGCTCTTGTCGATTGAACAGATTTGATATTTGTAGTAAATGACACTCAGGCAGAGTGGCAGAGGCTTGCCTGTCATTCAGCTTTCAGGCAGGGCTTTATGGAGTTAATGAGAACTGTAAGTGGTCATCAAGACTTGGTGCGTCACGGGAAGAATACTTGAACACAAAATATGTTAGCTTAGTGGTTATGGTGTTACTGCTGAGAGAATGAGTCATTTAGGGAGACAGCCTTCTGTACTTGAATAAGCCTTGAAGCAGACCTCATGTTGAGGGTTTCTGCTAAACCATATGTATCTCCTTTACAAAGCAGTACGAGTCAGTATGGTGTTGCAATATTATTAATAACGGTGCCAAATTCAGTGAAGCAAAGTTCTGAATTCTTAAAGTTCACACTTAGGTAAAAGGAGGACATTTTAGGAGGTAAGTGTGAGACATGATCTTTAGGGAAAACATTGCTGATGGAAACAGAGAGAGCTGTGTTTCAGGTGCTTTTGTGCTTGATTCCATTGTCCATCTTTTCTTAAGAAACTTGATTTAAGTTCAGACTACTTTTCACAGCACCTCTAAACTGGCTGTAGACAGTACAGAAATGAGTAGATAAAGTTTTATTTAGATACTCTGATAGCTTAGACCATGACCTGTCTAACAGTGGTAGTAATAGAGACAAAATGGGGAATGACAAAATGCTATTTTTCTTTTGGAAGCAAAGTCTGTGACAAATTGGTTTGGAAATAGTATTGAAAACAGCCCTGTGATGAAATGACAAACAAGAGCATGAGAAGGGATATATATTTTTTTCTTCTAAAATCCATTCAGTGTATTTGGGCAGAAACAAAAGGAAGAAGATACTCTTGGTTAAATTGATTAGTAGAGGACATGGAACGTTGTTTCCTGTAGAAAAAATATCTTTACCCTAAACTGTAATCTTTCTAGCTTCTGTTGCATGCGTTGCTGCATTTTCTTTTTATATGTGCTCTTATTTATTTTCATGGCAAATGTATTTTTAAACAGCCTCTGGAATAATTATTGCCATTAATTAGTTTTGATATTTCTTTTTTAATGATATTTTCATTTATTCCTTTTGCTAGCTGGATTGCCTTTTGCAATTCTTACTTCAAGGCATACCCCCTTCCAACGAGGATTATTCTGTAATGATGAGTCCATCAAGTACCCTTACAAAGAAGACACCATACCTTATGCGTTATTAGGTGGAATAATCATTCCATTCAGTATTATCGTTGTAAGTTAAATCCGCTTTTTCCAAATTTATCACTTTTGGGCAGTTGGCTTAATTTTTGTGTTAATCTGTTAATGATTGAATGCATAACCCTGTAAAACAATGTATTTTTTTTTTAACTTTTAATTGAAAGTGTTATTTGATCAAGATAATTGTGGCTATTTTAGGTGGGGACAGAAGAATAACAATGTATAATTAGAAGAACCTTGCTGAATATGTGTAGGTTTTATGCTAATCTTTTCCAAGTCACTGTGTTTTTTAGAGCTGTAATTGGCTATTGTTTCAATAATCTTGTAATAGATGAATGTTAACATAAATATGTTTCTAGCATACTTTATACATTATTTTATAATTTATTGAATCTGTATCTACTTTCCAGTTACTGAGTTCTGGAAAAGAAAAATTGCTAATAAATGTTAAGACTTCATTGAACCCATGTTTACTTTAAATAATTTTCAGATAATGCTAGAAATGCGAGAGAACAGCCAAAGTTCTATATATAATTAGCGGTGAACACAAAAGAATTTTTACTGGTATTGAAACACAATAATAACGTATTTTCTAGGATTTCAGGTGAGAATGCTTTGAGAATGTGCTCTAGGGAGAAGACTTCAAGTGATCAGACTAGATGACTTTTATAATCTCTTGACCCAGAGATTCTGTGATTTAGATTAATTTTATGTTCCATAACTTGTAACTTTAGAAACAAGGTTTATCTTAATAAAAAGCAGAAAATATGGTCCCATCCAGGAGATACGCCAACACGATAACGTCATATATGTCTTGTCAGTTTTCCTTATTAGCCCTGAAAGTTAATCAACTCATAATTTGTGGTACATAATTAATAAAATAAAACCTCTGCTATACAAATATTTATTTCATGAGATTGTGAGCTCTTTGACGGCAGAGACGGTGCCTTGTTCACCTTGGTATCCTTGCTGCCTGCCATGGCGCCTGCCATGGAGCCTGGCATATCCTAGGTGCTGGGAAGAACCTGAAGTAGCTATGCAGTAATAATGTTGGTGACTCTCCTACAGTGTGGTGAAGTTTTAAGAAATCAGTGGATCCCTTCAATCTAGACAAATCTTTACACTGAGTTTTGACTACTGAAAGCAAGCAAGCCAGGTCAATGCTTCTGGAGTAAGCGTAGTTGTTTTTTTTGTTTTGTTTTGTTTTTTAGTATAGTTTATATTTACTATTTAAATATAAAAATTTTAGTAGGACTCTTTATTACAAATAGTAGCTGATTTCAGACAAGATTAAACTACTCAGACACTGCTACAAATGTACTTGACTTTCAATTCTAATTTTCTTTGTGTCTAAGTAAAAAGGATGCTGTACAAGCAAAACTGAAATTCATTGCAGACCAGAGGCAGGGTGCCGACTGCCGGGCACCCTGTGGGTGTCTGGCAGAACACTCAGTTAGCAAAAACTCGTTATTTATATTTCATTAACTTGGAACTTTTGACTATTTCAGCATCACCTGTGCGAAAGTCATCTTTATATTTAATAAAACAGCAAGTAAATTGAGTGTAGGTTTCTTAAAAAAGAACAGACTGTTTAAAGGCGCTATAAAGTACTGTTTTCATATTAACTGTTCAACAAAGACAAACACTGCTTAGGGCAGTGGTTTTATGTACTAATTTAAAATAGTTTTAGTTTATTCACTAACTCAGCTTCTTTCAGGCAGCACTTGGTTAGACTTGTATGTGTTTAATTTTATTTACTAGAAGGTAAATCATTTCTTTAAGAAGTCTGTTAGGACTATGATTCAGACTTCATACCAGCTCTTTGACGTGAGTTACAAATGATCCACAAATATGTGAGTGCGTGCGGAAGCCTTGTAGAGAGAGCCAGAATTAAGGCAGCTTCTCAGAAGCTAAGGGAGAAGTTCAGTCAGGAGAAAATGGTCAGCAATGTCAAATACTACTAAAGTTACGGAAAATGAGGGTTGATAAAAATGTTTGCTCCGATGAGACTGTTTTGACTTTTGAGAGCGATTCAGTAGAATAAAGGGAATGGAGGTCATTAGAGATATTTAGGAAGGAGTGGAAGTATGTCAGTGATTTTAGACTATTCTTTTGGGAAGGTGGGACCTGAATCGAAGACACATAACTATAGGGACAGTGTAGAGATGGATAAAATCATCTTGGTTGGTGGAAATACAGAGGAGATGGCGAGAAAATACTGTGGTGCATAGGTTTTAAATGGTTGAATCATACTCATTTAGATGATTATTAGCTTTGACTTCAAAAGTATTCTGTTTTACTTCCCCAAACCTTATCTTTAGTTCTTGAGTAATTTATCCTATCTTTAGAATCTGAGTAACCAATGCATGAAAGTCATCCCAGCTCTAAGATTTGGCCACAGTTGGCTTAAATGTGGACTTCACCAAAGGCTAAGAATTGGCATAAATGGCTCAAAAAGCAGGATAATATATTAAAATTAAAGAAAAATATGACTACCATGTGTAGGTGAAATGCACAGACACATGTCTACATTTGATTTAGAAGAATTGATTAAGAACTTTTCTCGTTTATTTCTCTCAATAAAGATGGAGCACATAATCAGCTTACACTGATTCTGTATATCAGCTTTTAATCTGTGCTCAGTGTTCTGAATGCCCCTAGTGAGCTGATTTTCTGTCACCAGTGGCTAGAACTACAGTTTGGCTTGTCCTATACAATGATCGTTATGACTCTGAAGACTCAGAAAGATCAATACCTGTTTATGGAAAACAGTTGATTGCTTTTGCAAGAACATCTGACACCTGAGATATGGAAGTTTCAACTCCTCGAATTGTGGTTAATTAATATGCTTGGGATATATTTTAAATTATCAAAGATCTACTCCATAATGAAACATTAGAAAAATTCTTTCTTGCTGTGACTCTATCAAGGCAGTTGCTGGAAAACCTTAGCAGCCTGAGGAGAATAGTATATACTTGAAGAGGCAGCATCTTCAATTTAAATTTATTGATCACCTACTCTATTTTAGGTCACTGTGGTGGTATTACTTTTCTAGTCAACAACTAAAAATTCACTCTTGCTTTTGTAGACTTCATAGTCTAGTTATCAAAGTTATAACATTCTAATTATGAAATTGTAGGAGCCATTGAGCTAGATGAGGAAAGAATTTTTGGTATCAAGTTTTTGAAATCCTTTTCAGGAGGCAGCCATTTATTTCATCTATGATAAGGCTCACCCTGAAGACAGTTAATCTGCTATAAATGGAAATCTTTGAATGCATTGTATAATTGTTTATGTAAATTGAACAATTTTTATGTAAAATGAAGCAGCAAAACTAGCACTTATCTTAAGCAAAACTTTATGACTTACACGCCCCCTCAACATAAATAAGCACAGACTGTTGTTGAAGTCTTTATTTTGGTCTCTGGTAGTTATAATGTCGCTTATTTTATCGGCAAATGTAATTTTTTATAATGTTGCCATTCAGTATTGCTTTAATTTCTCAGGATATTGGTCTGTGAACTTGTAAAGTATTTGGAAACCCTTTTATGCCTGTAAACTCATTACACTGTTGCGCATTCATGCACACGCTGTTCTAGAATCTGGGAAGGCCTTAACTCCAGTTTTAGAAAAGTCAGTGAAAAATAAAGAGGAAAGAGTCACTTGAAATATTTTCTTGGAAAAGAGTATTTTCAAGGAGAGTATCAAGTGTGTGTTTGATTTTTAATAAGACTTGTTAAGGAAGCCAGGTCTAAAGTTCTCCTGGAGAGGCAGGAAGAGGAGGCCCTGTCCGCTAACCGCTCTGCTCTCTGTGCCCACTGGCCTGTGTTAGATCCCTGCTTTTATATTAGATTGTTTACTCCTTGAAACTATCTTCCCCCTTTTAATATGATAGATGTCTTTAATTCAGAGGAATGTTTGATAAAAATTAAGACTGTCAAAAGTACTTATATAAGGGGAAATTTGTGTTCTTTGAATAAACACCATGGTTTTTGCCCACCATACATCACTGTCTACTTATTAAAACTCAGTTTATTTGAATACAAGAAAAGAAATAAGGTTGTATTGTTTTAAGTAGACTTTGAAATTATTTTGACTTAGCCATTGCTTTGTAAGCAGCATCCACAATTAATGACACCTTGTTTTTTATGGTTTAGAATTAGATATCCTAAGTTGTCTCCATTTGTAAAGGAAAAAACAGGAAGGGTGTTTTTGAAATAAAGATTTTATTGTGATTTACCATTTTCTTTTCTATTTTTAATTTTGTTGAAAGTGCCTAATTGCTGTTTTAACATGTTATATTTCTGTTTCTTTTTCAGATGATTATTGGAGAAACCCTGTCTGTTTACTGTAACATCTTGCACTCTAATTCCTTTATCAGGAATAACTACATAGCCACTATTTACAAAGCCATTGGAACATTTTTATTTGGTGCAGCTGCTAGCCAGTCCCTGACTGACATTGCCAAGTATTCAATAGGCAGATTGCGGCCTCACTTCTTGGATGTTTGTGACCCAGATTGGTCAAAAATCAACTGCAGTGATGGTTACATTGAAAACTACATATGTCGAGGGAATGCACAAAAGGTGAAGGAGGGCAGGTGCGTGTTAAATCTTTAATGCTTGTTGTATCTTGTATGTTCTTGGAATAGAAGTTTTCAGTGACTGGAAGATGAGCCATTCACTAGCTTAGAGAGGAAAGCTGATGTAATCACTGGGAGGTGAATCTATTCTATTTATTCTTTTTCCCCCTTTTATCCCTATCCTCTACTTAAGAGCATTTTAATGCAATTCTTTCATCTCCAAAGTGTAATGATCCTTGTAGAGCATAATAGTCCAGGGTCAGCAAACCTTTTCTTAAGGTGCCAGAGAGTAAATATTTTAGGCTTTGTGGGCCATATGATCCATTTGACAACTATCCCACTCTTGTTGTAGCAGGAAAAAGCAGCATAGACAATCTTTGAATGAATGGGTGTGGCTGTGTTTCCTTGAAACTTTATTTACATAAACAGTGGCTGCTCCAGGGTTTATAGTTTGCTGACTTATGACCTAGCCCAACCATGTAGGAAGCTCTGCTAGATTTCTTAGTATCCTTAGAGTATATTTTTTATAAGGCAATTTCATATCTTGATAGCGCTAGGTCTTTAGGTTGCCTTTTTTTTTTTTTAAGCTGAGCCATCCTGCCACCTGTTGGCATCTCAGCGGCTGCTCAGCTCGGACTGGGAATTGAACCGCTGTTGCTCAGAGCTCACACTCTTGAGCGAGCTCTTAACCAACTGAGCCACTCGGCCGGCCCTAGGTTGCCTTCTTATAACACCCTTGTTGGGCTCCATTGTACATGTGGAGCACCATTATGCATGGATGAAATAGAATGTTTGGAATGCAAAGGGTCCAACTTCTTTAATTTATAGATGAGCAACAAGCCCAATAACATTAAATAAAGCCACTAATTAGTAGAAGAGCTAATTCCTCATCTCAAGTTTCAGAAGTGTCAACTATACCTTTTTTATATGACCTTATATTTTAAGATAGCTATCCATTTCCCTGATTCATCATCCAATAAATACTTTCTCTGGGTACAGCAGCATTTGACTGTTCTTTGTATATGATTCCCCAGATACTCTATTGTCCTTGTTGGTTCTGTTGTAAGCTACACAGCCCTGCTAGTAGTCCCTCATTTTTGCATTTAGTGGGGATGAAAAAACACCTTATGTAGCTAAGAGTACACACTATGCAATGTGCTTAGGATTCAGCAGTGAACCAAACAGCTCTGTCTTCATGGAGCTTAGTCTAGCAGGGAAGACATTAAACAAATGATGGCAGTGGAAGAGAAGCTCCCTGTTTAATGAAGCCAAAGATTAGAGTAAGAGAGGTAGGGAAAGAATGGTTCAGAAATGGCTTTGAGGAGTGATAAGATACCAGCACCAACACTGGACTCTTAAGATGTAGGATGTGGAGACCTCATTCTCCGCTCTGATAGCACTACGGGGCCAAGCAGTGTATGAGGGAAAGGCTTTTTGATTTAATGAGTAGGAGATGTAGTTAACCTTCAGTGAAGAATTTGAAGACACAGGGACATACAGAGGACTTGAACAATAGAACTGCAGTTCCAGAGTTTACCGTAGAGCTGGGATGGAGGGGATGAACAAATAGCTGGTTGGAGAAGGGGAAGCTTATTTTGATAGAGATTGCTTCTGATCTATAGATCAATTTGTGATGAGTTGCTGTCTTGATACTGAGTCCTCCAATCTATGAATATGATGTCTCTCTCCATTCGTTTAAGTTTTCTATTTAGCTTCTCTTAGCTATATTTTTAGTTTTCAGTATACACATCTTGCACACATTTTGTTGTTTTTAGTGTTTCTTGATGCTGTTGTGAAAAGGTTTTTAAAAATATTTAAATCAATTTCCAATTGTGTATAGAAATACTTTTTTTTCACAATTGGTTTTTATATTGGCCTGGTATTCTACAGTCTTGCTAATTTATTAGTTGGAGTAACTTATTTTATAGATTCCTCAAGATTTTCTCTGTTCCCATTTATATTGCCTGTGAATAAAGAGGGTTATACTTCTTATATTTCCTTCTATTTGGCCTGTTATTTATTTTCCTTGCCCTATTATACTGGCTAAGACCTCTAATACGATGTTGAAAGAAGTGGTGAGAGTAGGCATGCCTGTTTTCTTCCTGACTGTAAGTAGAAAGCGCTGTCATTCTCCATTAAGTAAGTTACCTGTGTATTTTTTGTAGATGCCCTTTGTTAGATTCTTATCATGAATGTGTGTTGGATTTTGTCAGTTGCTTTTTTTCTATGCCATTAGGACAGTCATATTGTTTTTCTTTTTTCTTTTACTACAGTGTATCCCATTAATTCTGGAATATTAAAGCAACTTTTCATTCCTGGGATAAACTCCATGTGGTCATTGTGTATTATACTTTTTATATTAACTGGATTTGATTTGCTAATATTTTGTTAAGGATTTTTACTTCTATGTTTATGAGTGTTATTTGTCTACAGTTTTTTTGTACAGTTTTCTTTTTGTCTAGCTTTGATATCAAATGTTTGGTAGAATTCACCAGTGAATCCATTTAGACTTGTAGTTTTTTTAGTGGGAATATTTTAAACTGTTATTTTATTTTTTTAAATTAGATGTAGGGCTATTCAGGTTATCTATTTCTTTTTATTTTCTAAAAAAAATTTTTTTTTATTGGGGAATTGGGGGAAGGGGAACAGACAAGTTGCTGTCCTTTTGTTCTTCAGTCTAGTTGTGGAGGACGTTGCTTCACTGGCCCACGTTGACACCATCATTGTGCTCTTCCCGGGCGAGGCAGATCAGTCTCCGGCTTCTGGACGGCTGCTCACTGCGGCTGCTGGCCACTCACGCTGGCTGCTGGCTACACACGGTAGCCCATGGCAATCCACTGCAGCAGGGGCTGCAGCCTACGCTGTCGTCGGTGACTCACGGCAGCCCAGCTCCAGGTTGAGCTGTTGTTCAGCATCTTAGCTGTAGAGGGCAGTGTCACTGGCCCTCGTGTGGGATCCGAACTGGGGCCCTCTGGTGTCCCAAGCCAGTTCTTAACCATTGCGCCACTCAGCCGGCCCCAGGTTATCTATTTCTTGTGTAAGCTTTGGTCATTTGTCTTTCAAGGGATTTGTCCATGTCATCTATATTATCAAATTTATTGGCATCAAGTTGTTCACTGTATCTCTCATTATCCTTTTATCATCTAGGAACTGTAGAGCTCTCCCCTGTTACATTCCTGCCATTGATAATTTGTGCCTTCTCTCTTTTTCTTGAGTGGTCTGGCTAGAACTTTATCAATTATATTAACCTGTTTATTTCTTTAGGTTCATTGATTTCTTCTATTGTTTTTCTGTATTCAATTTCATTTGTTTCTGCTCTTATTTTTATTTACTTGCTTCTGCTTGCTTTCAGTTTTATTTGTGCTTTTTTGTAGTTACATAAGCGAAATGAGATCATTAGCTATGTTGCAAATTTTGATATGCAGTATCCTCATTTTCATATAACAAAATATTTTATAATTTCCTTTTTGTTTTCCTTTTTGATCTTTCTCTCATTGATTTCTAGTTTAATTACATTATGGTCAGAGAACATACTTTGTGAGATTAGAATCTTTTAAATTTATTGTGGTTTGTTTCATTGCTCAGCATATGCTCTATCCTCAAGAATGTACATGTGCATTTGAAGAGATTGTGTATTCTGCTGTTTTTGAGGTCCAGTGTTCTGTAGATGTCAATTCAGTCAAGATTGATAGTGTAAATCTTCTATATCTTTATGAATTTTCTATAAAGATGTTTTGTTAATTCTTTAGAAGTTTGAAATTTTTATAATTGTTGAATTATCTTTGTTTTCTCATTTCTGCCATCTTTTGTTTCATTTATTTTGTGATTCTGCTCTTTAATGTATAACATTTACAAGTGTTCTTTTTTTCCTGATGTATGTGCCCTTTTCTGTATGAAATGTCTCTCTTTGTCTCTAGAAATATTCTTTGCCTTAAGTGTATTTCGTCTGATGTTAATATATAGCCACTCTAGTTCTCTTATGTTTATTGTTTGGATAGTATACATTTTCTTTTTTTTTTTTAAAGATTTTATTGGGGAGTTGGGGAAGGGGAACAGCGTTGGGGGAATTAGGGAAGGGGAATAGACAAGTTGCTGTCCTTTGTTCTTCAGTCTAGTTGTGGAGGACACTGCTTCACTGGCCTATGTTGGCATTGTTATCATTGCGCTCTTCCCGGGTGAGGCAGTTGCTCACCGGCCATTGGAAGGCCGCTCACAGCAGCTCTCACTGGCTGCCGGCCCCTCACGCTGGCTGCCAGCCACTCACAGTAGCTTACAGCAGCTCACTGCAGCAGGCGCTGCAGCCTACACCATTGCCGGTGACTCACAGCAGCCCAGTTCCAGGTCAAGTTGTTGTTCACCATCTTAGGTGTAGAGGGCACAGCGTCACTGGCCCTCATGTGGGATCCAAACCAGGGCCCTGCTTCTCAGAGCTGGTGCCCCAAGCCAACTCTTAACTCTTAATTCGAGTGGCACAACTCGAATGTGCCACTCGGCTGGCCCTGGATAGTATACATTTTCTATAAGTAAAATTTTAGTTTATATGAATCATTGAATTTCAAATATGTTTATTGGATATTTAAAGTATATAGTGGGATCTTGTATACTGTTTTTAATCCAGTATGAAAAATACCAGATTTTTTATTAGAGTGCTTAATTCACGTTTAATGTAATTATCCATATAGATTTAGGTCTGCCATTTTGCTGTGTGTTTTCTATTTGCTGTGTGTTGTTTCATCTCTTTTTTAATTGATGTGTAATAGGCATATAACATTTTATTAGTTTCAGATACAATTTTTTTCTTCTCTATTAATTTATCTTACTCCTATACTTTTTCATACTACACAAATATTTTTTAGTATGTCATTTTAAGTATTGTACTGAAATTTTTTTCTAAATTTTTTGGTTAATTTTTGGTGTTTCTGTAGGGATTACAGTGTACATCTTTTAATCATAATTTACATCAAGTTAATGCTGATTTTCTTATGGCAAAATTAGCCCTTTGTTCCCAGTGTAGCTCT